TCATACTAGAAAAAAAATTTCCTCTTGAACCTTTCCTCTTCCTCCTCTGATCCCCTGAAGATCAGATGTTGGACACCACCAGAGACATGATGTGAAGCTAAATAGAGCACTTGTCTAATCCAGCATGGTCACTCTCATGCTTCTGTTAACATTATACTATGGTCATTCTGATGAGAGGTTTTTCCACAGAAGAATGGCAATGGCAACAAAAGGGGTGAATTCCTTCACTCTGTGTCAAGGAAGAATCCCACAGGAAGGACGTTTAAGGGAACTATGTGAAATCGTAAAATTCCTCTCATGAAATGCCCTCACATTCATCCCTTGTTGCTCCCCACACACTAAGCAGGGGGTCTGTTCCCAGAGCATAGGCTTCCTGAGAGAACATCTGAGAAGCAAAGACATCTGCTCACAGGTCTCCAGCTCTGTGCCCTGCCCGCTCCACACTTGCTTCCAGGCACGGCATGGAAACAATGTCACCACATTGCCACAGCATCTTCAACCCACTGAAATCCTAGAAACCACTTCCTTCTAGCCACTTCCACATCCTTCAGCTGCTCCAACAGCAAACAGAAACTTGTTTCAAGGCCATAACTCCAAAAGAAGGAATACAACTTAAAAAAGATTGCACAAGTGCTTAGTGCAATGTATTAGTGAATGCTGGAAGAGCAGCCCCATCATCCAGAAAAGTCATGCCAAGAGAAATTAGTGTCAACCACATCACACTGGATTGTGTTCTAAATATGTTACAGGGGTGACTTAACATTGTGGATATGTATTTCGATAATGAAAAACAACCAGGATTTGAGGGAAAAACAACAGAGAGAGTAAAATCAGATCACCATGAACATGAACTTTTTGTTCCTGCATTAACACAAGACAAACAAAAGTCTATGGAAGATTATTAATGAATCAGTTAACTATTTCACAAGCATCTATAACGGTCTTGAATACACAGATGCACCATGAGCTAAATCATCCTCTTTATCTTTAGACTGGCACACTTCTACTCACTAGGCCACAAAAAAAACCCACCCCAAATACAAACATGACTTAATACAGAAGAAACAGTCATCCACACTCCCAGTCCAAGTTTCTTCATACATCTCAATGGCTCAAGACTTAAATTTCAGAAAAAACTACCTCCAAAAAATCTCTTTGCCCACACCCTTGGTGTTTCTCAATTTGTTACAACTTTGCTTAGTTCCACCATGAATTCATTCTGCTGGTCACAAGGACATGATATTGTGCCACACTTGGCTTTGGATAGAGTACTGGTGCCCCTATTTTCACTTTTCCAACTCTTGCTTTCTGCATAGTAACCACCAGGATTTATCCAGTACTGAACTCCAAACATAGGGAAACTAAACTGAGCTTCTGCATCTCAATAGGAGAAAAATGTGTGGGCACCCTCCTGACAATCACTGGACCAATTTCAGAATAGGCCATTCACAGATGAGAATGCTTGGGAAAGGTGGTTTCTCAGTTGCAGGAGTATGTGCGGTAAGGATGCATCGCAAGGGCAAAGAGAGAAGAGCCTGGTTCTGTCCATGGGTAGAATTCATGCTCAAATGTACACAGAAGTGTTTCTCTACATTCTTACAAATATTGATAGAGGGGAAAAAAGAAACTGTTGGGGGCAGGGGTGAGATCTAAAGAAAAACCATGTCTTAGGAAGAAGCTGTTTGCTTCTTGAAGTCTCACATCAGTAGGAGAGATTTGCCTCCAAGGGTAGAGATGACTGTGATTGGCCATTCTGTACTTCATGGCAAAGCTACTCTAGCAGCAGTCTTGCTTCCCATTCCCTCTGGGGCTACAGCAGGAAGTCTCAACCTCTGACTTTGGGGGATTCAAAGGAATAATTTTGCTGATAAAGTCCCACCACAGCCCCACTGGACACAGACTTTGGAAATGCTGAACCTTAACCCCATCTGCTGAGCTTCTTCCTTTCCCAATCTCAATCAGACATGAAAACTAGCAAGCTGATAAACATTGTGCTTGAAGTTTCCAAACCACATTAAAGTCTAAGGACTCATCAACTGTCCTGAAAATCTGGACCATTTCCTTTTGTCCTATACTCCCACACAATGTGAAGGGCTATTGGCTTCAGTCTTCGAAGCATCTGACAAAAAATAGGCTCAGCTTGTTTGTTATTGTTCAGATTAAAAAAAAAACAACAACACCAAAAAACCTCTCAAACCTCCCCAGTGGCAAATTTTTAGGGGTTTAAAAGTATTGGGTGTTTCTGGATATGAAGATCTTTACTACAGCAGAGGTGAAGTTCTGATTTCTTCTAGCACAAACTGTAAATCTAGAAGATACCAGCCTAGCCCAAAGGAATTGCTCCAGATTTACACCATCTGTAAGAGAATGAAATCTAGCTTTGTGTAGAGCATACGAGCAAAACACCTGCTTAGTAAGACATCAGTAAATGGTGTGATTTTCTTCAGCAATGTCAGAAAGTTTGATACTTTCACCCCGTGTATACATTTTTTTAAAACATCTGTGTTATATAGTAATGTTTAACTCTTCTGCCTTATGTGAATTTAGTTTGGAATTTTTGGGGGAGCCCAGTTTCCACAAAGGTCCAGAAGAAGTGGGAAAGCCAGATTTTCTGGACTTCATTAGCGTCTTCAGCCCTAATCCCTAATTAGACCACTCTGTGTAGTTGTTTCAGCAAGTAGTCAAATCAAATTGAAACTTATGAACTTGCATCTGAACAGTGCTTTCAGAGAAGTCAGGTTAGTTACTGCAAGAAACTACCCTCAGCACTGATTAGATTTGACCCAGAATTTCTTCCTTCATTTTTTCCAACTGACCATGAAATTGAAAAGTCCATTGGGGATTTTGATGTTCTAGTTCCCACTGAAATAACTGTGATTCATATAGTGCTGTTCACAGATAAGACTGTAACACAGTCTATTTACCTTCGAGTTGATGAACAGAGTTTCATTAAAAACACTGTAAACGGGAAGTGCTGGACAGCCTGAGTAAGAATCGTAGGTAAATCGGCAGTGAAGGAGGATTAAATGGGAAGAAAAGCATAGAGAGATGTATGATACAAAACATCCCACCACTTCACCAATAACTTTGAAACTCTCCGTGCAAATGCAAATATGGAGAGTTTTGCCAGTGATCCAGAAGAAGCATGATCAACCTATCTGGAATGTCCAAACAAAGCTGCACAAGAACGGTTTTCTTTAAAAAAAAAAAATCAAAATCAATGAGTTTGAAAAAGTCTAAATTATGATTTTAGGCACAATCTCTTGTACATTGGAGGCATATGAATTTCCAGCTAAGGAGTTTAAGGGCACTCAGGCAAACTACAGAGAAGCATCTTTCCAGTGCCTACAGCACCTTAGCCAACTCTGGGATGTACATCCCCAGCACCCAGAGCACTGGGTTGCCCCTTAAGCAAGTCAAGCTTTTCCCACTGGAACTGGTTGAAGGTGCACACATCATTGACAGTCCCTGGAACAGCAATGTGAACCAGGGTCTCTTACAGCCCCTGGCTCATAGTGTCCACCTTTTCCCTGGGCAATGGTTTTTGCCATGATATGCACAATGGAAAACTTTTCCAACAGGAAAGAGGAAGCCAGTTCCCAGCATAGCTGGTCACTGCAGGAGCCCATGTGGGAGCAGGACGCCGAAGTTCCAACTCCAGCTGTGAAGGAAGCCTGGCAAGGATCTGAACCCACATTTCCTGTATCCAGGGTGGGTGTCCCATGCCTGTGCCTATTTCATCCTGGGTATAAGAACCTCCTTAGCGGAGACAAATAATGTGGGGAAATTAGCACTTTCCTGGGGAAAAGAAAGAAAAAAAAAATAAAAGAAGAATACCTATATATCTGTATCAAAGTTGATGAATCAGCACTTCCCGAGCAGGAAAACGTCTCGTCGGAGCGGCCCCGCCAGCTCTCCTCCCGGGCAGCCTCGGGAGACGGCTGCCGCCGGCGGGCAGCACGGGCACCGCCCGCGCCGGGACCGCTCCCGCTGGCTCAGCGGTGCGGAGCAGACCGAGCCTCTAGCCACCTGTGCGTGGTGGGTCGGGCGAACGCGCTGCTAACCGCAGGAACGCCTGCCTCGACGGCTGTCCCGCGGGGAGCCAGCCCCTTTATGCTGTGTGCCGTCCCCCGCGGGAGCCCGCCGATATGCTCTGAAGGGCATCCCTACAGACCCCCACGCACCCCTATTCCCAGATGACCAGCCACGCAACGCTGGGACGAACTGCCCACCACGGCGCACCGTCCCATCGGGGCCGGCTCCTCACTCAAAGTAAAATAAAACTCAGTTAAGAACAGCAAATCTGCACTGGTCCGTCCTGGCACACGCGGCATTGGGGGATGCAGGCGCCGGAGAGCAGCTCCATCGCACTCTCCAGAAAGACCAACGCCGGGTACCCCGCAGCCAACCCCTCAGGCAACATCAGCGATGCTCTGCCGACCTGACCGGTGGGCGGCAGCAGGACCTGGATTTTTGCGAAGAAAACGGGCACCTTTTCTGCTTCACGGGCAGAACTGGGATACTTCGAAACAAAGTGCGGGGGAAAGCAGCCTGCCCTGCAGCCAAGACATGCTTGCTTTCCGTGATGCAGCGGTTCGGACATCTCCCGGTCATGTACGGCTGTCCCCCGCGCCCAGGAGAGGCTTTCCTCTCCTCCACCGCCGTCTTGCCCGGAGGAGAAGAGGCACCGAGGCTCCGCACCGCCGGACCCCCGGGGCTCTGCTCCGGGGGCACGCCACCAGGAATCTGGAGGATAACAACCGCTCAGGATGCGGCGTTTCGCTCCCTGAAATGCGGAGATCGCTTCCCCGGCCCTGCCCAGAGGAGAGGAGCGGAGGGAAGGCAGGTGCCCGCCGGTTCCAGCCGACAAGCGGGGCGTAGCGGGGCCGGACAGGGGCGCGGGAGGCTCCGCCAAGGAGGCACGTCGCTGGGGGCCCGTCTCGGAGAGCTCGGTAAACAGCGGGGGCTGACTGCGGCAGCGGGTCCCGGCAGACCCTTACCTGAGAGCAGGAGGGCGGCTCCCAGCAGCACGATCCCTGAGAACAGCTGGCGGGGCATGGTCCTGCCCGCGGGAGCGCAGGTTTTTATCCCTGCCGACCGCGGCGAGGCAGGGGCAGAGGTGCCGGCTCCTCTCCGACGGGCTCTCCTCGGTCCCGGGCGCTTCCCGCGGTGGCGGAGATAACGGCTCAGCGCGGCGCGGAATCCGCATCCAGCAGCCCCTGAGCCCTACCCGCCCGCTCTGCCCCGACCCGACCTGCGGAAAGGGAGCGTCCGCTGCGGGCTGCCCTGCCAGCTTCACCTCTCGCGGGCACCAGTTAGTAGCCAGCTCCAGCCCCGCTGATTTATAACTTCTCCACCCCTCGCCGAGCACCCCTCCGCCCCCTCCGCCCACATCCTCCGCCGGGAGCACGCCCTCCGCGGGATGCGTTCTCTGCCCTGTTGCACGCACGCCCGTCGGGGGGTACAGGGTCGCTCCCCTGCCGGTCTCCCTCTCCTGGCCGCTCCCGGCCCCCACGGATCCCGGCCGTGCCCTCCCGCCGGAGCAGCGCTGCCGAGGCAGGCAGCGGGAATCGCCGCCCGCACGTCGCCGGGTCCCCCCGTGGAGGGCGCGCAACGCACTTGCGATTCCCAGACCAAACGCTGAGCAGTGGGGTCCCAGTCCCGCAGGGCCCCTCTCTGGCTCCGCAGGAAGCCCCCGGCAGCGCCGCGTCCCGTCACCGGCTGCTGGGCCGGGGACCAGGTCGGGCCGGGGCCATACAGTCGTTCTCCGGCTGCCGGGCACGATGCTCAGAGCGCCCAAAAGCGCCGTGCGTGCCCCGGAGACCCGGGACTCTTCTCCCCACCTTCCGGGAGGAGGGGGAGCGGCGGGGCAGACCGGCCTGTGCGGCGCCTGGCCCGGACCAGCACGGGTCCCCAACCAGCAGCACTGAGCGCTGAGAGCAGGGAAGCCAGGAAGGGGCAGCACTGGCTAAGGATGCTTTTTCGGGAGTCTGCCCTGCCAGCGCTGCTGCTGGCCTTTACTGACCCTATAACATCCAGGGCTATCTTGGAAATATATTTCTCCTCCCTATGTGCATACCTCGAGTTTCCCACACGCATTTTATTTTTTGAAGGATCAGCAGAGAGCCTGTGACAGCAAAACACAAGCTCCATCTTTCCACTTTTTCCCTGTGTTGCCAGAGAAAGGTTATTGCATAGGTAAGGTCTTCGGTTTGATCCAGTATGGCCCTTCCTATATTTTTATGCTATGAAATAAGTGGCAAGCATGTCTGCGTGGGTGTGATGGCAGGTAAATGTGATCATCCCCATTTTACAGAGAAGGAAATGGAGGCACACAGAGAGGTTAGGCAGCTAGTCCAAGGTCATAGGAAGCTGGTGACAGGAGACACAAATAGAACTTGGACCTCCTGTGTCCCAGCACATCATCCTGTGCAGATGAAAACTGTTTAGCTTTAAAGTTTAAAGTCTGTGAGAATATTTCCTGCACGCATCTCTCCGACTCCTATTCATAAGTGACACCCTAAACTATGAATTTAAGTCTGCATTTTCCAACCTTCCTGCCCCCAGCTGAGACCTTGAAAATAAAATAGCTATGGATACCTTCCCTCCCATCTGCTCACAACATGGAGGGAAGAACCCAAAGGGTTCTTTCCCGAAGAGGATGACTCACATGAAATCACCTCCTCCAGTGGAGAGGACAGCAGCTGGGAAAACAGCCAGGGAGGACAGACCAACTAGAACTAGGATACTGGGCTTCCTGACAGCTCAGACCCCCTAGGAGCACGGGCTCCCCATGGAAGGAGCTAGGGAACTATTTGTGCCTGTCTTTGGCCAACCCAGTGTTGAGTACGTGCTGAGTCTGAGATGATGCAGGCCCCATCACAAGCTCAGCAGCCATGTCACACCAGTTCCTCCCCACCCTCTTCACACCTCCTACATCACAGCTGCATTCAGTCATGGCCCTCCAAAGACCACATTTCTTTGGCAAGACATAGCTCCTTCCTTCTCCAACAGATGTCATCAGCTCCTAACCCACTCAAATCTCTGAGGACCAGGGAGGACAAACCCAAAGATCTACTCCTAACACCTCATCACTCTTCTATATGCTAAAGTCAGGGAGAGATGAGATGTAGAGCTAGCTTGTAGACTGAAAAGACCCCAGCAGTGAGATACAGGGAAGGAAGAAGCAGCAGAAACTCCCATAAAGCAGAATGAAGGTACAGTAGGAAGCCTGTGCCTGGAACTGGATGTAACAGTCTAAACACCTAGGCTGAAGCATCTGGAGGGCTGCATGGAACATACGTAGTAGTATTATTTATGTATCACCATGCAACTTGCAACACCTAGTAGGGTGCAAACCAGCTTTGAAGAGTAGTTTAGGTATTATGGCTGAACAAACACTAAGGAAAGAGTCAAAGACTTGTCCCAGGAAAAAGTCTATCCTGCAGGCAACGTGATCTCTTTTTACCAGAATCTTAGGCCTTGGTCTGATGCTAAGTAGTGGGTGGCATATGTTAAGACAACTTTTACCCTTGGAGTTCAACTGTCATTCACTGAGACAAACAGCTCTGGTGCAAGCACAGCTCACAGCGGAGCAGGGGATCGTAGAGAACAAGGCAAGTTTCTAGAGCCAAGGGAACCCCAGGAGAGTATTGAGGCCCACATGGAGCTGGCAGCTTGCACAAGAGCAGCTGACTCAGCATGAGGCAGAGCCTGCGGTGACAGCAGCTGCCCCCACTCTAATGAGTGCCTCCTAATGAGAGGAGCCCTTGGGGAGCACTAGCATGAATCTGGAGATGCCCCAGTCTACTGGAAGCTGGTAAACATTGTCCTAGTTTTCAAGAAGGGCAAGAAGGACGACCCTGGTAACTACAGGTCTGTCAGGTTCCACTGAAGAGCAGCACCACAGAAAAGGTCGATGGTGAGTTGAATATGTCAGCAGTGTGACTCGTATCAGTGTTCCCTGGCAGCCAGGAGGACCAACTGTGTCCTGGGTGTGCATCAGGCACAGCATTGCCAGCCCATCAAGGGAGGGGATTCTCCCACTCTGCTCTGTACTAGTGTGGCCTCATCTTGAGTACTGTGTGCAGCTTTGAGTGCCTCAATATAAGGACATCAGACTTATTACACTCTGTCCAGAGGAGGGTGACCAAGATGGTGAATGACTTCAAGGGCAAGACTTAGGAGGAGCAGCTGAGGTCACTTGGTTTGTTCAGCCTAGAGAAGAGGAAAATGAGGGAAGACCTCATAGTAGTCTACAGCTTCCTTACAAGGTGAAGTGGAGGAGCAGGACCTGGTCCCTTCTCTGTGGTGACAAGTAATAGGACCTGTGGGAGTGGCATGAAACTGTGTCAGGGAAGGCTTAGGTTGGATATTAGGAAAAGATTCTTCACCCAGAGGGTGGCTGGGCACTGGAACAGGCTCCCCAAGGAAGTGGTCACAGCGTCAAGCTTGACAAAGTTCAAGAAGTGTTTGAACAGTGCTCTCAGGCACATACTGTGACTCTTGGGGATGGTCCTGTGCAGGGCGATGATAGCTGGATCCCTTCCAACTCAGTATATTCTGATTCTATGAATAATGGATACATAACAGTTGTTATGTTCTCTTCGGCTCTTAAATGTGGGGATTTTCCTTTTTCTAGCATTTGTTAAAAAGACTATTGCTAAATACTAGAAAGAAAGTCAACCAAATTTAGCAGATGAGAGTAAGCCCTCTTTGAAACCTATCAGGTAAACATTCTTCCTGCAAGGCTGATCATCTGCTCAATCTCAAACACTACAGAAGCTGCAAAAGAGAGAAGAGAAACGGCCTTCATAGTAGAAAACATTTGTTTTTAATGTTCACTTGCAGGCCAGCAGTACCTTGTATTGCTGAATTTTACTCTGCTCTGAAGGAAGATAACTTCTACCAAGGCTTTTGCTTGAACAATCCACACATTTGACACTAAGATCATCAAATTGTAGGCAGCAAAAGCACCAACTCTCCAATACGCCTCCCTTACCCCTCCCTGGCCAACAAGACTCATTGGAACAACACAGAAAAAGAGCAATAGGAAATACGATGAAAAGGCAAGTAATCAAGGCATTCTGATCCTCGGTCTGCCTTGAGCAGCCCACAACCACGCTGCAAAGAAACATAGATACAGCCCTAAGCACACAGGACTTTTCATAGCTGAGCGCTCAACCAGGCCACTGCCTCTTGTCTGCTCTCTGACTCTTGCATGTCTGGCTTCAAGAGTTAGATGGAGTTACAACTCCTTTCAGTCTGGATATGACTTAGTCAAGTCACTGGGACACATCCTGAGGTTGTGGTTTCTATTCCCCAATGGAAATAGAACCCTTGGAACATCTTGAGGTAGGAATCACATGGACAGTTCCTGTGGACCTGGCAAAAATAAAGAGTCCAGAAAATCCCACTTATACCAGCAGCTGAGACCCTCTCAACCTGACCTGACTCTTTCTAGTCATGGAAAAAAATTTTTATTTGCACCAGTGCTCAAAATAGCTCCTTGTGGCACTGGTTCCAATGTTCAGAGCATTACGCAAAAGGCCACCACCAGCACCTGCAACAGCAGGTGCCTGCCCATGAAAGAATGCATGAGTCAGATTTACAGCTGGGGAACCTCTTGTTATCTGTTGATCCCTGTACTCACAGCAGAGAGGTAGACACCTCACAGGATCAGACTAGACTGTCTTTGAGACAGTCCCAAGCTCTAGATGTCAGGAGAGAAGAAAGGTGTCAAGGCACAGCAGACTGGATCTTCGTCTGCAGATCTACAGAATCTGCACCTGCCAAGTGACTTCATTTAAGACAACTGGGTGCTCCCAGGATCAAAAATGTAATCAAAGCAATATTTCAGTTGATCACCTGAAAACATTACAATATTTGCAGAGCCAGTGGGAAAGGTTCCAATGCTCTCTGTCTACCAGTGGAAGCCTTCTCCATCCCCATGGGCCTTTATCAGTTCCACTGGCACAACTATTTCTGGGACTCAAAACTGTTTCTGGAGCTCAGTGTAAAACAGTTTGGTGAAATAATCCAGGATGTAACTTGCCTGCTTTCTATGGAGAATCACTTATAACCTGTATTTTACTGATACAGCTTACAGCACACCCACACAATGGGAGACCCAGTGAACTGTAAGAACTGGAAGACTATTGGAGCTTTCTATACTGATCTAGCTACTGGGGAGACTGCAACCTGGAGCAAGATGCAAGGTGAGATGGAGTGGGTCTCCTCTACCTAAGGCCTTCCTTCAACTCTCTTTTCCTCTCTTCTCTCAATGAGGTGTTTACAATTGCCATTATTTTGACATCCTCTGGATGGAATAGAGTCTAAAGAGCACACTAT